TCTTGGTTTCACTCACTGAGCCACCGAGGGCAGGGCAGGGTAAAACCCGAGATCATTCAGCAGCAGCAGCAGTAATTAAATGATGCAAAGTTACAAGAGCATCAGCCCTGTGCCAGTGCTCTCTTTCTGCTGTTGAATATCACATATGGCTGTGCTGCAGAACAGCTCAGCATACAAATGTGGCTGCTCTTTGCACAGGCTGATTCTACACACAAATTACAGGGAGAGGGCAGATTTGCTTCTGGTCAGGAGAAAAAGCTGAACTTCAACGTGGGGGAAAATGGAAACTTCTGTCCTTAAAGACCCCACAGCCCTCTCCTCCACACATAACCCCCAAACCAAAAACAAGGGTGGAAAATGTGTATCACAAATTAGCTCTCAGTCTCTCTTCTGGGTACAGATTCTTTCCAAGGAACAAAACGTTCAGCAAAACATTAACCCATCGTTTGCCCTCCCAGGGAAGCCCACACATGAACAGCCACAGCAGAGTCTCTGCCTCCTAGGGAATAAAGGATTATTTCACACCCTGCCCTTTGCCCTCTCCTCCCCATCCTCCAGGTCTGAGGAGAATTAAAAGGGTTCCTCAGCAGTTCAGAACCCCCAACACTCCAGTGCATCAGGAGCTGGGGTTTGGCACTCTGGACAAACAGAATATCCTGCAGGAAGGAAAGGAACTCGTTGGCTGTGGTCACTGGCAGATAAAGGACATGGGTTAGACCACAGAATGTGCCAGTCATAAATGTAGTAATCATTATGGGGGGGTTAATTCCTTTTACTGGCCATCCTATCCATCCCAACCCCCAGAACAATCACACACTTCATGCTTTTAGTATTTCCCATTTGGAACCCGCTGCAGGTCTCCAGCTCGGAGATGACATCCACAGAAACACAGACACGGGGTTATTGCACAGCAGAAGAGGAGCATTTGGCCTTGCAGAAATGATCAGCTGCTCAAAGCACACATATGCACCACGAAAACCTGGCTCTTCCTCAAGGGGCTTTTAATTTCTCTCGTGATTTTGGCTTTTCTGTGGGCACGAGACCGACTGCAAATCTCCTCCAAGCAGGGATTAAAGTCAACCCATGTTTCACATCCACTCAGTCCCAGGCAGGTGTGTCCCTGGGCCCTGAACAGACATTCCAAAATGGTTATTTTGGGTACAAATCAACTCATGCAGACTTTCTCAGCTGGTTTTCCTTGGACTACCCAGATCCAGCATGGAAGCACCTCCTTCCCTGACCCAGCCTCAGCAGGAAGGGCTGCCAAGCCCACCAGGGACGGGCAAGAACTGAGGGAATCTGAATCCTGCCCCACCTCAGATATGGGCAGGGCACTGGTGGCAAGATGAGGCAAAGCTCCCTCTCTCCTGTAAGATATTCTACCTCCTCATTTGCCTCTTCTTTCACCATCCAACAGCCTTACTTTTAATATCAACTCTATCTCCCTGGATTTGGAGAAAATAGAGCAAGGCAGGGCAGCAAGAAGATCACTGAGGAAAATACTCCTTCTGGAAATGATAAATTGTATTTCTTTGCCCCCACCTCTCTCCCTCTCTGTGTCCCTTCTAAATCTTCCATTTTTTGGCACATGCTTGGAGGAATGACGGGAAGAAGAGGAGGAGGCAGTGGCACCATGCTGGGACCTCACCGTGCCCACACCACACACTGCTGGTTAGCAGGCACCAGGGGGATGCAATGCAGCACTTTAGTGCCCTCCACCAAGGGCTGCAGCACGACAAACAGCACTCCAGGGCAAGGGCAGCAGCTCCCAGCTACTCACTCGGTGGCTCTGGGCTTTGGGAGTCAGCAGGAGTTGCTATGGAAACACGGATGGACAGGACACGTCAAGGTGAGACAGCCGTGGAAAGAGAGGGGAAGGGACAGGGGGGACAGAGAGGAGAGAGAGGAGGATTAATGAGAGTGAGAATGACCTGAGTCCTTAGAGCAGGGTGTGCCACCTAAAGAGGCTGCAAAAATCGGGTCCTGCTGCCGCTTTCCAGCCCCCCTCACAGGGAAAGAGCTTCACTGTTCCTCCCCACCTCCATGCACCACGTCCAGGGAACATGCAGAGAGCAGGAAAAAGGGCTAAGAGCCCTAAAAGGGGGAACATCTCGGTAAATAAGTGAGTTCTGATAGAAGCTGCCAGCCTGCAGAGCACTGCACTGCTCAGGCTGCACCAGGAAATACAGGGACTGCCAGGACAGAGGGGACAAGGAATGTCCTTGCTTCCCAAAGCCCTGGGAAGAACACAGCAGGAGAGACAAGAGCTGGGACAGGGTTTCTCTGCTATTGCACACAAAATCTTTTGCTTTTAAAGAATCATCACTGTCCTGTCTCCAAGAGCCCAAAGAACCACAGAGAGGGGTAAATCAGAGGCCTTGAGAGGCTGGAGAGCAGCCCCATGGAGAGAGACCTGGGGAGGGGGGAAAAAAGAGAAAATCAGGGAAAAACACCCAGGGGTGTTAGGAAAACACCCAGGGATGATGTTAGGCAGACTGCAGCACACAGAGAAGATCATGCAGAGCAGAGGGGACCCAAGCCAGCCCCTTCTGCCATACTCACTCTCTGCTAAACGGGAGGTGGGTGCAGCAGCACTGGCTAAAGGAAGAGAAAGGCAGGTGAGGAGGGGAGGGGATTCCTGTCAAATACTGCCCAAAGGGAGAAGATGAAGGGATTTGGATATTTGGGGGCTACTCTAGCGTTGATTTGTTGGGTTGGGGTTTTGCACATGAAGATGTTTTGGTTTCAAACCCAGGCAGAGGAGAACCCTGTGCTCCCAGGGACCACGGCTGGGAACGTGCCTGGAAAAGCAGAATGGAATTTGCAAGTGAAAAATATGGTTTAGCCTACCGAGAAGGAAGAGGAGCTGGGACTTACCCCACAAGGGAGCAGAGCTGGGGGCCCACTGCCACATTAAAAACCACCAAGAGACCCCACAACAAATGGGATTTAATGCTCCTCAAAGCCACATACCTGTCCCCAAGTGATGGACATGAGGCTTGGCAGACACATCTGATGGTGTGGCTGAAACAAAGCTTTTAATGGTCTTTTTCCTCTCTTCTTAATTGGGTTTTCTCCCCTTTTCCTGCAGTACTGATGTGCACCCCCCAGCCCTGATCTCCCCTGGGTATCACTGGTATGGCCAGCCCAGGAGGGCCCCCAATCCCTGGGAGCTGTAACACTATCCATGATTCCCTTCAGAGAAGGGATGTAATCACTTCTGCTGGAATTAACAGGCTCCACACAATTCCAGGCCCCAGACTGCACATATGTTGTGGAAATGTCTCCCAGGTGACTCTCTAACTGCTGCAATTTGCAATTGTCTGTCCATCTGTCCCTTCATTCACCCACCCTGACTATCAATCCATCCACCCTCTCACTGCTCTACTATGTCCAAGCTTCTGTATAATACAACCTTGAAGGAAAAACAGCACAGGCATGATTTAAACACTGGAATTTGGCTTAAAAATAAAAATGATTGCCTGTTTTTTTACTTCAGCTTCAGAAATCTCAAAGGATGTGACAGGAGCTTCCCCAAGCTTGTCCATGTAATCTTGGGAATAACAGCAGTTATTTACAATTCAACAATTTTTAATGGATTCATAAATATGAAGCCTTCCACTACTCCAGTCTGTAGTCAACACTCTATCTATTATTATTATTAGACAATCACTATGTTAAATATTTCAGTTGCATGCTTTGCACTAAAGCCAAATATGTTAAGCCCCTAATTCTGTTCTAAAAAAGAGCAGCATCACCCAGAGCAGGGTGACTATTCTAGAGTCAGTCTTGTTAAGGAAATGGACACTACCAGTTACTCCATTTCTAAAGACCCTGAGAGGAAAAAGGCACTAAATTAAAAGCTAATGTTCTGTGTGTTAGAGGAACACTCTAGACACAAAAAAAAAGAGAGTGAGAGAAATGCAGAGAGCACTTACGTGGGTGAGGGATGCCTGCAGTTTATCCATGGATGGAACACAGACCAAAAAAAATAAAAAGACAGAGATAGACAAACAAAAAAAAAATGTAGAAGATGTGAGAAGAAGAGATAAGAGAACATGGAGCTGGAAAACCCAAACACCACACGTGTCCTGCCCCACACTGCTCCGCTCGGCAGCTCCGCGGGGGCAGAAGGGGACAGACAAAAACCAGGACCATGCACAGCTCAGGGGCCTCCAAACATGCATCTGATGGGCTGGGAACTGCTCTGAGTTCAGAGGGCTTTCAGAAGAGCTCCAGAATGGGGACAGAGGTCTGGGTGTGATGGTGGGAAGAAGAACAGGCTGAAGATCTGGATGCAGGGGAATGGGAAAGAAGAACCACAGAACCACCAAGTATCCCCTGCCTGCTTTTGTCACATCTCCCCAGCCCACTCTACTCCTTTTCTTTCCCTTTCTCTCCTCCCCATCTTGAATAACTCTGATTTTGAATTCCTGCCACTGTCATCCTTGGCTGGAACAGGAGGGACAGCGTTGGGCCACATTCTGTGCCTGGCCTGGAAGATGACCCAGTACAGCACAGAGAGGCTGTGGAATCCCCTCATGGATGGGCACCTTAAAGCAGGGATGTGCAGAAAAGACACCCCCCCTCTCCCTCCCCAGCTCATGGCCTGGATGTGGTGAACATGTGAACTTCTGATTTGCAAAAGAAACCTGCCTTGTGACAGAGCCATCTCACTCTCCAGGACCAGCACCCTCCTCAGCTGCTTTTCCTCATTTACATCCCCCCTTACACAGTCCCTTCTCTGGCAACACCGAGTCTACACTGGCAGCCCAGGGCACCAACCAGGGCAGGTAAAACAGCTCCTCTGCCTCCTCCCTTCCAAGGTGATTTTTAATTGGCCACCAAATCCCCCACAGTCCAAACCCACCATGAGAACAAAGGGCGCAGCCAGGTCTGTGAGAGAAGGAGGTGTCACATCCCATGCATGGCAGAGATTCCCTGGCAAGGCTGAGGGCAAGGTGAGCAGAGGGGCAGAGGGAGGGCTGGGCTGCACTTACGAACTGGCTGTGTCTTGAACTCGGAGGGCAGGCTGATCTCCCCCACGCCTTTGCCGTTGACTGCAGACAGCCTCACCGAGTAGGTGGTCTCAGGCTTCAGGCCAGTGATGGTGATGGTGCCCTCCTCGTTGGCTGGGGCAGAAACAAGGGAAGGAAAGCAAAGAAAAAAAGCTCAGGGGTCATGGACATAGGAAGAAAGAAATAAGCTCTATTTTTCCTGCACAGACACGAGGGAGGAACGAGAGAAATAAACCTGGCCCTGTGTGATCCCATCACTCCAGAGGGGACCTAACAGAAGAATTTCAGTTCCAGACAGGACTGGTGGCAGAAGATTCAGCTTTGGAATAGAACTCTCCTTTCCACAGTCACAAAATCACAATATTCTGAGTTGGGAGGGACCCACAAGGATCATCAAGTCCAACTCTAAAGTGAATGGCCCATACAGGGATGGAACCCACAACCTTATTAGCACCAGCCTCTAACCACCTGAGATAATCTCTAGTCCTCCCAAACCAAAGTTAGTTTGGTTTATTTGACCTACACATCCATTTTAAGCAGTGTGCAGGGCCATAAATTTACCAAGGCAGGGTGTAACAGGAGGCAGCTTTGCTGCTGGAAGAGGAGGGTTTATTTTCCAAGGGGAACTGAGGGGCTCGAAAAGCCTTCTGTGGGAAGCACACAGACACTCCCCAGTCAGCAAGTGAACACTCATCTGATCCCAAGCACAGGGTTCCTCCCCTTACTCAGGGAGGATGGTGCGAAGCAGGAAGGGCTGCAGAGCTGACCACCCCCTCTGCACCCTGTCACACACGTGCAGCCCTCAGCACACTCCCTTCCACGGGAAAATACAACCTGGCACTGCACAGCAAATGTTTAAGAACTTTTTTTTGGCCCTTATAACTACAGGAGGTGAAACTGCAAAGCTGTGGAAAGCTGTGGAAAGCTGTTCACTAAAGAAAAGTCGGTCTGGTGAGGTTCAGGTGGGGGAGGTGCCACCTTGTTGTGTTGTCCTACCTTCTTTTGCATCATACAACCTGGAATGCCACTCTCCCTCGCCCAGGGCCCTCCACTCTGCCTTGTACTTGAGGATGGGAACCCCACCATTGGCTTCAGGCTCATCAAACTCCACCTGGGCAGTGCTGGAATAGGGCTCCACTCTGTCGATGGACGGGGAGGACGGAGTGTCTGTGGGAGAAGGGAAGAGAACCAGAGATACAGGAGAGGTCAGGGACAAGCTCCAGTGGCAAAGAGAGCAGCAAACTGGGGACATCAGTGACACCCTTGTCATGGCTTCACAAAGGAGAGGAGGAGGTTGGGCCTGAGGCTCCCTTTGGAGCAGCTTGGAAGGGGGTTAATGCCCCACCCACATTCCCAGCTCCCCCTGCCTGGGATGCTCACCTGCCTGCACCAGGATGAACTCGGAGGACTCCTGCCCGATGCGGTTCACGGCAGTGCAGTTGTAGTTCCCAAAGTCGTTCTCCGAGTCTGGGGTCACCTGTGGGAGGGATGAGGGCTCATATTCGGATCAGAACCTCCTTCTCACTCTGCCAAAGCACTCATTCAACTGGAGGGACCCTACAGCAAAGTGCAGTGTTCCCACTCCCAGGGCTGGCCACAGGGGACAACTGCAGTGGGCAAAAATCCAAGGCAAGGAGGGGGTGGTGCCTTGTGTTGCCTGATTTTCTCAGCACTGGTGTGCCAGAAACATCACCCAGCTTCGTTTCTACCAACAGGGTGCCCTTGCAAAAGACTTAACTCCTTCTACACCAGGAACACCAATTATTTGAGCCTCCCTGGCTGCACGTGCCTTCTCCCCTCCCGGCTTTTCCTCACCTCCAGGTAACTTGCTGAGGGAGTGTTGTAGATCTTGATGTTGCTGTAGTTGGAGCTGGGGAGCAGCTGCCCATCCCGGAACCAGGAGATGACAGCACTGGGGTAGGCAAACACCTCACAGGTGATGTTCACTTGGTTTCCTTCCCAGGTGTACACAGCCACGGGGCCCTGGAGCTTGGGGGCATCTGAAAGACAGACATTTGTGAAGGCTCTTTGAGCCAATCTCCCAAAGCAGCCCAGGCAGCCTCACTCGAAGGATCCCTTGGCTGGGGTCCACTGTGATGCGGGAAAGGGAATCTCATGTAGGAAATGGGAGCTGTCCTCTCATCTGGGGGGATGGGGAGTGTCTTCTGCTGAAGGACATAAGGAGGAGACCTACTCAATGCCAAAGCTGCTCCTGTGCAGTGTGTAGGAGGAGCAGACAGCGTGATGCAACCAGGAAATCATGCCAGGAAGTTCTGCTGCACCCAACACATGGGACTGCACCAGCTAAATCCGTTCAGCTGCTCCCCACAGCCTCATCCCCAACATCAGGCACGTCCCGAGCCGAGGGCGCCTCGGTCTCACCACAGGGAACAGGAATCCAAACACTGCTCCCCATCAACACCCCCATGCCCAGCCCACCCTGCAGCCCTTACACTGCACTTCCAGGTACATGGCCTGGGAGTCCTGGCCGATGGTGTTGCTGGCTGTGCACACGTACTCCCCGGCGTCCGTGTACTGGATCTCCTTGAGCGTCAGCGACGACACCCGCGCGTGGCTGCGGACGATGATCCGCCCGTCCAGGGTCTGCCAGGGAGGGAAAACTCCGTCAGAGCCCGAGCCCCCAGCCTGGGCTGCACTCTAAAGGGATGGGGACGAGGGCAGGTCTACCTCACGCCAACCCTGCGGGGCTCAGTGCTTGGGAGGGGGCACCCGAGCCCGGAGGGCACAGGGAGGCACTGCCAGAAGCAACAGGAAGGTTCCTGGTCACACAGGGCCAGCTGCAGTGACTCAGAGCACTCAGGAGAAGGGGGAAAAATGAGATGAAAGATCAAAGTATCAGATGCTACTACGAAGATCTGAGGGCGACCAGACAAAGTCAGGCTTCTCCCCAGAATGAGCACTGCAGAGATCCAGCTCTGGTTAAAAGTTTTTGTCAGCATAAAGGAAGAAAATAAAGGAAACCTCCCCGATGGCTACTGTGCTTCCCCTCAGAGAATTCAGCCCTTCCTGCTCTCTCACCAGTACTGGATTTATTTCAGTGCCCTTGCAATGGCATTAATAAGAACAGATCCAGAGTTCAGGGGAGAATCGTGCAAAAAGCGAGCTCAGAACTTCCACCTGAACATGGCATGAGAACAGAGAAGGGTGCAGAGAGGCACAGGAAGAGAGATGAAGGCAAGAAAACTACAAGACCCTTCTAGAGACAGTCCTGCTTCAAGGCCTTGTGGTGCTTCAAGAAAATTCTAGCTTGGAAGCTTTAAAGCTTTAAAGCACCAACTCTTCTCATCCAATTTCCAAAGTGGCCCAAGGGAATAAATGTGGTCCTGTCCTGGCTGTGCCTGCTGCTGCAGCCTCCACTCCTAGTGCAATTCATGCTCCAAGAGCATCTGCATTCTTGGAAGGGACAGGACAAGCACTGAGATGAGGATTAAACAAGCCCTGAGGATTTTAAACAGCCCAGTGCACTGAGCTGGAGCACAAAGCACATCTCTGGTACCTCGGGTGTTTGGAGCCCCTGGGCCTGAACCCTCTTTGTGTGCTGAGCTCGTGGTCTCTGACAAAGTTTCTACAAGCAAATGTGATTTGTTACCTCTGATAGTTCTAACATCAGTTCATCTGAGCCAGTCCAATTTCACGTACACAAAACCAAGATCCCTTGATGACACAAACCCAATTATATGTGGCTTCTTTTTTTTCTTTATTCTACCCTGCACACAGGTCTCCTGCAATCCCTGACCAGTGCCACAGACTCCATCCTTCTGACTTGTGATTTGACTCCAAAACACAGCTCACTTCTGAAACCAAAACACTGCAAAAGGTCATTTTACATCCAAGTGCCAGCTGCCTTTTCCCTTCTTCCTTAAGGTCTAATAGAAACAGAGTGCCAGGCACAACTTCACAAGGAATGTAACTGGGTCTGAAGATGAAGCTCTGTCTCAATGCAAAAGGCACAAGAAAAGAAAAATAAAGATTGGGAAAAATACCCTAAAGAAGAGAAAAACATCTACCCAAGAATGCACATGACCAGTTCTCTTTTATTCCTATTTCAGCCCATCAGATGCCAACAACTCCTGGCTGTTGGAGAGAGGGCAGGTAGGAACTTGTGAGCCAGATATGGACACTTGCAATCCTTTACCTTGTCTCCCTGATTTCAAGGATTTTGGAATACAAAATGCTTCCTACTAGTGGGGAGACACCCTCAGGGACACAGGCAGGAGCTGCTGCCCCAGGGATGGGTGTGATGGTCTCTACAGTGCCAGTTACTGCCCAGATCCCAATATTCCAGTGCCAAAGGGGAACAGGAGAGGCAAATGAAATGCTTCCCTCCACCTGCTGCACAAACAAGCATCCCTGACTAAATTCCACACAGTCCTACCTTCTCCTCCCCCACTTCCCACGCTCTGGACACCCCCAGAGAACCCCTGGAAATCCTGCCCACAGGTACAAATTCCAGGGAAGGGAGATGAGAGGTCTCTCCTGGCTCTGTGCTTGCACTGCCCTAACCCAGACCCAGCTGCACCCCTCAATATTTGACTGCCAGCTGTGGTGTCACTGGGGCTGTGCTGCTGTGAGTGACTCCCTCACCTTCCCTTCCTCATCCTTGATGCCAAGTGCTCACTGCACTTCCCCAGCCCAGAATTCCTGCTGCTGGAACACACTGCCAGAATTTAATGGCAATTTAAAGGCAATTTTAAGGATATATCCTGCACGAGCTGCAGTGATAAACCTTCAACATTCTCACCAAACCCCACACCTGGATATTTTAAGACACAGAGGCAGCAAGGAATGTAGAGGCAGCAAAGCTTATTAGTGTTAGTGCTCTTATTAATCAAAAGCTGGAGAGAGAGAGAGCCCAGAGAAAACACTGGGGGCAGGGGGGGACAGAGGCAACTGTCACAGGAATTAAGGTGAGTCCTGAAGAGATGCAACTACTCAGATTCCAAATTCTTCAATGCAAACTGGCCTGAATATCTGGTGCCTTCCCCTGCCACGAGACATCTGTTCCAACAGATTACTCTGGAGGAAGAACAGGCAGGGTCTTCTCAAGTCCCACATGAAACACGGGTGGATGGTGTTTAAATTACAGGTTTACTTTGTTTAGGCCACACCCAGTCTCTGTGGTTTAGGATGGCTTAAAAATAGTTTTTAAAAAACCAGGGTACCTCCGCAAAGTTGATCCTAAAAATACAAATATGAGCCCCCTCCCCATCAAATTGTGATAGTTAATTTTGTTCTCTACCTGACCCCTATTGTTTGCTTGGGAACAAACTTTCTGGTCCATTTTGAAGCAAGAGTTACAAATCAGGTGCACATAAAGGGAGGTTATTCTCATTATTATTATTATATTTTTACAGCACAGCACTGAATGTGAAAATAAAAGCAACAAACCCCACTTGCACCAACCCCAGTGACTGCATTATCCCACCCCCTCACTGCCCCTTGCAAATCAAAGACAAATAACAATTGAGCAATTTGGAGCGTTTTCTGGAGAAATACATCTCTCCTGCAAGCTTTATCTGCATTGATTTGGAAATGGAACATGATGCAGTTGTCCTTGAAAGAGAAGATCAAGCTTTTGGAGTACCATGAGCAAATAGGTGAGTTGGCTGGAGCAGAGGAGAATTGTTTTTGGGGGGGGAAAATCCTTCCCCAGAGCACATTGCTGCTAATCTTCAGTCTCTAAGAGAGGCACGATTCCCACTGGCAGCAGGGGGAGAGCAGGATCTGCCAGATTTTACCTCTGCTTTTACTTTTCATTGCTCTTTTTTTTTTTTTTCCTTTTGTTACTCACTCCCAACACAGCCAGTTTGCTCATCTGAAAATGCAGCACTACATGCCAAGCAAGTTCTAACTCTAGAAGCTCCTTCTCTCACGTGCTGGTGTTTAACTCGCTCGGATTAATGCTCGTTTAGTGGGTGTGGTTACTGGACTAGAGGTTTGTTAATCTGTAAAATGCTTAAAGAGAAACCAAAACCAAAAAAAAAAAAAAAAACACCTAAGAAGTTTGCTAAAGGTCTGGTAATCTTATACCTCTTGTTTCTCGGGCCGGGTCCACGAAGCCTGGAGAGGACAGATATAGAACACAACAACAACAACAACAACAGAAAAAAAGCAATAAGAGTTTATCAAAGGTTGCTTTCAGGCATCAGTGTTTGCAGCACATTGTGCTCTGTGCACATGCAGGCTCCAAGGTGTACATCTCTCCTGTGTTGGGGGGTGATCACACCTTGCATTTCCCAGCAGAGCCTCAGCTGAGGGTGGCGTTCAGAACTCCACATCCTACAGGCTGGCCCTGGGGTTGCCAACCAGAGGGCACTGGCACCCCAAACTGCTCCTGCTGGCACACACCCCCTGCCTGTTTCCCTTGCCACGTCTCAGCCTCTCCACACACCTGTGCCAGGTGCTGGGCAAGAGCCTCTGCTCACCTGGGCCACTCAGCTGCACTGGGGAGTCCCACAACTGGTTTCCTCACCCTGGTTTGTTTGCCACCCACACACGCTGATGAATTGACACTCGTGAATGTGCTCATGCGCTTGGAGCTGTATTTCCATGCATTCTGTGCCAGGAGGAGGAGACCTCGAGCTGCAGAGCACTGGGACAGTGGGACACCCTGCACAGGGCACAGCAGGACCTGGTGCCCCCAGCTGATCACACCCAGCCCTTCCTGGGCTTGGGTCAACCCCCCAGCAGTGAAACATGCACAAACCTTGCATTAAAGCAGATATTTCAAGCAGATATTTCCCATTCAGAGAAAGCCACCAACAGTGTGGACCGTATTCACCGTGGTAGAAAGACCAGAATTGCTGGGTTCCCTTTTCCCCCCCTATAATTTACATTTCAGATATCTTCTGGACTCTGTATCAATTGTAACTTGATCCACTTGAGTTCAGGAGCCCAAAATCACCTGCCAATGTCACAGCCACGATGGCACCACTGGGTGTGAGGCACAAGTGTGGATATCACAGCGCACACACGAGTGACAGGGATGGAGATGGAGGCTCAGGAAAATGAGACTAAAATACACAGCATTGTCTCCACAGGGCTTCTAGTGAACATTGTGAGACTTAAATATTAACAGATGGGACAGACAGCCTCGTCCTACAATGTCCTGGATGAAAGCAAAGTATTTGCTTGTGACTAGAAGCCTGAGGTGAAGCTCCCCAGCACCTGCACGGGGTAGGGCACTCCCAAACCTATGTATATATATCCTGTTGTGCACAAGGTCCTTGAAAGCTGAACAGGCAGGCTGATAACCCACAACAATCCCTTCCTGCTGTCCTAGCCACTCTGCCTGGCCTGTACCCCTGTGAGTCCCCTTCCAGTCCTGTTCCCTGGGTCCCTACAGTGTCAGCACAGGGGGATTCTTCTGATCCTCTGGTGTTCAGTACCTGCCAACCTAAAGGGACATGAAGAAGGGAAAAAAGCCTGTTCCCACACCCCAGAGTTTGCTGTTCCTTTGCAGTGGCACTCAGAGACGTGGGGAAAGAGGCAGAAGCAAATTCTCCAGCCTGGAGAGTTCCAGCCTGGCAGTCCCTCACCAAGACAGACACACAAGCTCTACTCAGCACCATGCAGGGAATGAGGAGGGGGAATCAAGAGCCTCCTGCATCTCCCCTTCCCTCTGGAAGCAAGTTGTTAAATGAGAATCCTCATTACAAAGCAGTTCCTGGGAAGTGCCAATGTAATTGGCTCCCTGGATCATTAAATGCACAGACAGTCCCATGAACATCTCCTGAGATGCAAAGCACAACACAAATTCGAGGCAGGGAGTTGTATTCAAGGTATATTGCCCGCTTAGGAGAAAAAAAAACCCAAATACAATCAGGAAATGAAGTTTCCATTAAGTTAAATTTGAGATGTTAAATGTGCTGCATCCCATCTAGGAGCTCTTGGCTGAAGGTGTTGCAGCAATGCTCACTTGCATCATCAGAGTATCTGACTCTCCTCTAGCTCACTCAGTTTTCCTTTTAGGCTTTTTTTTTTTTTTAATTACTTCACTGGTAATTTGACCTGGTGTGAGCTGTGCAAGGGAATGAGATCCTGAACTGCAGATATATATATCCCTGTGCCAGCCAAAAATCTGGCAGTCTGCACTACAACTGTAAAACTTGGTGCACCTCTTACAGCACACCAAGACTTTCTTCCTGAGTCCCAGGCAAGCTAATGTTTCATTTATTTTATCATTATTATTATTAGTTTCTTTGCACTCTCTGCAGAGCAGGAGGCTGCAAGCTGCCAGCTTAGATTGTCCCAGGGGCGGTGCCATGCTGGGCAGGCACAGCCACGAGAGGGGAAGCCTGTGCTCTGCATGCCCAAGGAGAATAACAGAACTCCCAGGGAACTCTGGGAACCTTGGAATAGCTGGGACATTGTCACCCTGTTGGGCTACAGCACCTCCTGCCCCTCATCAACACGTCACTGTCCCTGTTTTTGGACAAAGACTAAAAGGGGAAAAACTCTAAGCCAGGGAGGGTGGTTTTCTTGCTTATTTGGGGGTTTGGGAAGGTTTCTTTCTGAAGTACAGAATGTTAATGGGAGTTAAGGCACCTCTAAAATTCTAGACTGAAGTATGATCACAAGAGCAAACAACATGAAGCAAGACAGAAGCATCCAAAGCACCTGAAGAATATTCAGAAGTAGGGCTTCATAGCTCTAAAAATAGTATTGTCTGTGCTGCATCAAAGACCATCCATTTCCCTGTGCTGTCCCAGAGACAGCAAGGGCAGAGTAACCTGAATATATGAATTTGGTTGTACATTTAGCAGAATGTTAATCAGAGCTGTTCTGACCTGAGGGTTTTCTGGGTATTTGTACCATTCACCTAAACCTCCAGCACAAGAGAGAGAAGGGGAAAAGTGTAAGACAAACCCAAAACAAAACACACACACACACTCCAAATAAAATAACCCAGCCTGGAAAGTGGATGGTACATGATCAAAAGGTGTTTGCCCTGAAGGTTTGAACCAGTACATGAGACACGTGGCAGTGCCTCAAACCTTGGATTTTCCCCCTGTCTGTATCAGAAAGTACCAGAGAACCAACATTTCCTGTACTATTGCTCACCAGCAGCATCAAGCAGGATATATGAGTCTCAAAAATCAGCAAAAATTAGTTAGCAGTTTTGCCACTGAGCTCTTGAGGGTTTCACTGGGCTCTGCAAACAGGCTCTTCTACCCCTTGAGACTTGGTTTAGCTTTTGTATTCTCCTCCCTGACAAAGCTCTTTCCATGGCTGGGACCCAAACTCCAGAGCCAGCAGCTCTGCAGCCCTGAGCTCCTCCCAGGACCCCCCTAGACAGACAAGACCATGAATAAATGACCTCCTCCTGTCCAAACAGGTGCCCCAGCAGCTTCTGCAGGCACTGCAAAGCTCTGTCAACATTGCAGGGATTCACAGCAGCCCTGCAGTCCCAAAGATGCTAAGAAAGAACCGAAGCTGGAAAACTTTGGCACTGCCGTTAATAATTCACACATGAACAGCGCTGGGGAGAGCTGACATCATGGGGGCAATTAAAAAAGCCCATTTAGGAGCTCCAGTGCAGGATGGCAGCTGTGGGGACAACTGACAGTGGCCACCTCTGTTGCTCCCAGACTTTCATAGTGTGTGCCCTGCTGCCTTCACACCGAGCCAGAACCCCTGGCGTGGCCAAGGCAGCTGAGCCCTGAAGCATCCTCTTATTAGAAGATTATTAATAAGCAACAGCTCCTCACTCCAGCTTTTATCTAGGCTTTCTTTAGCTCCAAATTATGCCTGCTGATCACTTATGCAACTATTATGAAACATCTACAGTAAAGCAGCACATCCTCATCTTGTCTAATTAAAGGAATTGTAGCCAGTAACAACACCAGCACTCTTTCTTCTAAAAGAAAAAACTGCTAATTATTTTTGCCTTTCAAGAACAAAATGGCACTGATGGGATCAACAGAACAGGTGAGCACAAAGGCAGCCAGGCTTTTGTGCTTCAGGAATGTGCAGTACCAGAGTACAACACAGAAGGGCGAGAAGGAATGAACAGGCTCATTTTGGTCCACTGAGAGGTGACACCCCACACCTCAGCCCTGCCACCCTCCCAGTCCCACCGTGAGGGGCAGCATGGACAGCACTGCCATCAGGGTGCTTGTTCCCAGCTTGGATACAGGAGGGAGAAACCCTTTCACAAGCTTCCTGCAGCTGTAGGTCCCTTTGGAAACTCCTCTGAAGAGGGTTTGGGCTCCACTGCTCCTCAGGTTAATTCAAAGCCCGAGTGATCCAGCAGGAATTACAAAGCATGTCCTCAGCTGTTACAGACTGAGGTGGCTCTTTCCAAAAGGACACCCGTGGCACTGCTCCAGGTGTGGAGCTGGCCCCTGGGGGGACGGGGTGTGCCCGTGCATCCACGTGCAGCTCATGCAGCCCGGGCAGGGCAGGGCAGGGCAGGCAGGCACAGGCTGTGCTGATCCCCCCACGGAGATCCCACGGCCCTGGCAGGGGCTGTACCTTCTCCTCGCTGCTGATGTTGCGGCTGGAGGTTCTCCAGGTGATGGAAGGGATGGGGTCCCCCGAGGCCTCGCAGGTCAGGGTGATCTGATCCTCCAGCTCCATGGCTGTTTTGTTCTCCACGTAGGTGATTTTGGGTTTGGCTGGGAAGGAAAAGCAACCCTTACTGAGTTTGGGGCTCGGGATGAAGCTCATCTGCTGACAGCAATGTTTGGGACAGGTAGCACTGAGGGAAAGGCTTTGGAACTGTGACAAGTTCACTGCCATATGGGGAAGGAGCAGAGTGGTGTTTGAGAAGAGATACCTCCTGGCACAACTAGAACCTCTTCCACTCATGCTTAAAGCTGAGGCTGGTAAGAGAGGACCAGGAGAGGGTGTTTGTGAAGTAGAACTCATTTAACAGTGCACAAATGATCAGTCCCTGGGATTACCAGCTGAATCTTCCACCTCCCTGTCGACTTTCTCTGCCCCAAATCAGCCTTTTGATAAGCAGCTTTGTCAAGTGGCTGCATATGGGACGGGGAGAATTATATTCCTTAACACTCCCAGATTCATAGAAGGCAGGAAAGCTGCTGATTCATCCCTACAAGCTTCAGGTCATTCACACAAGGGTGGGGTGGAGTTCACCTCCCTGTGCAGGTTAGAGCAACTCCCAGTGAAGTGCTAAAGCAGCTTTGGGTGGATCAGGGCTCAGCCCTCTGGGCCTGGAAGTTATTTCAGGTAGCACGTGAGCCTCACCACAACACCCCTGCCCAGGGCTGGATTTCTCTTCTCAGGGGGGAGCAGGATGGAGCTGGGAGCTGTTTCAGACACACACACACGATGGCAGAGGAGCACAGCACTCCCTGGGAAAGCAGCAGCCCTGGATAAGCCCCGTCAGGCATTAACTGGGATAAGTAGGTTACTTCCAGCTTGCACTGGTGAGCTGCCAACATGCACTGGAGTGGGAAGGGGGGATGGTAAGAGCACGCTTACCGAAGACTTTGAGGTGGATGGTGGCATCTGCCTCCCCTGCCTTGTTCTCAGCGATGCAGATGTACTCGGCCTCGTCGCTCTTATCCACCTTCCTGATGACCAGCTCGGACCCGTCGTAGTTGAAGCTGTATTTCTCCTCATCATCAGCCTCCTCCATGGGCTCTCCATCCCTGGGGGCACAAAGCACGTGTGTGTGGTGGGGAGCAGCACCCAAAGGCTGCACAACCCCAGGAACAGCGTTGCTCAGGCGTGTAGCACTGCCTGGCACTGAAATGCAGGGCTGGGAGGGGACACGGGCAAACAAGCTGACCTGGCTGAACACCTGCCAGTGGTGAGCACTGAATGAGTCCCTTGGTTTGCTCTGCTTGCATGCACAGCTTTTGCTTTATCTATTAGACTGCCTTTATCTCAACCAACAAGTTTTTTTAACCCTTCTGATTCTCCTCCCCATCCCACTCCCCCCGAGTGGGCTGTGTGGGACTCTGCTGCCTACCAGGGTTAACCCACAGCAGAATCTGACTTCAGTTCCATCACCAGTCCACTCCTTCTCTTGTGAATCAAATCCATTCATTTCAGTCCAGTCAAGATGGTTTTTCCCTCCAGCCTGGTTTTCCAGGCCTTGGGGAATCACCCCTGCTCACCCTCCCCCCCAGGACACTGCACACAGCATCTTACTTTGTCCACGTCACGGTTGGCTCAGGAAAACCATCAGCATCACATGCCAAGGTGACAGACTGGCTGAGGTTGGCAGTGGCATTCATAGTGCTCTGCCTGGCACGCACAGAAGGAGGTACTGGAAGAGAAGAAATCCACATCTGAGTCAGAAAGCACAGAAGGCTGAGCAAGAGGGAGCCCTGGGAGGCTCCCCGAGCGTCTCTGCAATAACCACAGATGCCACCAGTCACTCAAACCCTTCCACCATCCCCTGCAGGTTTCAATCAACAGGTTTGATGCACGAGCTCTCCAAAGCAACCAGCACAGGGAACAAAGGGCAGGGGGTGGGGAGATGCACCAAAACAAAAAAAATCATTGTGGTGGACAAAAGCACTTGTGAGTCCCAACAAGCTCAATTCCTCGCTCACAGGACATGTCAGTTAGGTTTCCATCAGGTGAGAACTCTGTACAGTGAGGTTCTCAGCCCCTGCTCTGCACCAGCCTTGCTCTGAGCTCTCACCATTCACAATGACCTGGATGTCCTTGAAGTTGATCTCCCCCCGAGCCAAGATCCTCCCCTCACACCTGTACGTCCCCTCGTCCGTCTTCTTGATGCCCCGGATCTGCAGGTAGTTGTTGGACAGGACGATGAACCGCACTGCAAAGACAGAAGGGAGCTTCACCCAGGGATCCTAGGAGAGCTCACTGCAGCTTCTGCTCCTCTCTGGGCCCCTTCTGGCTTGAGACCAGGATTGGTGGAGCGAAACTTCCCTGCCCACCACCAAAGGCAGATGCTGCTGCAACTGGGGCTGACGTTGCCAAGGGAGGAACCCGGCTGTGGAGAGCAGCTGAGAGCTGGTGCTGTGCAGTTGTGAGCACCCAGATAATCCACAGGAACACATCTACGTGTCATTAGAGCAGGCAGTGTGCTCCAGGCTTTACTGCCCTACTACCTGTGTGCCTGCAGCAAGTAGGTGTGACAAACCCAGCTGAGGCACAGCTGGAATCAGGGCTTTGAAGGCCCCTCTGGCCATGGCTGGCTGCAGCTTTGGGAAAGAAAGGGAAAGGTTCTTGCAAGGAGCTTTTAGCCCCTTTTCCTCAAGAAGGCTGCAGAGTGTCACAACATCCAGCCTTTCTGTCTGATGGCACGATTTTATCTGATTGTTCTCTCTTTAGCACTCCTTGGTTATTCCAGTGTCAAAGCCCGATGGTCATTTCTGTGGGAAGATTGCTGCCCTGCCACTGCCAAACCACAGCACCTTGACTAAGTGAACTCACATCCTACAACCTGGTGCCAGGCACAGATTGCTCCTCCTCTCCCATTTTGTGTGTGAGCCTGATCTGAGCCCTGATGGGAGGTGGACACCTGAGCCCTGAATGGACGAGCACCAAGACCTTACCATCTTTTTTTAGGATGACATCCCTGCCTTTGTGCTTCCAGATGATGGTGGGAGGCAGCGAGCTGACCACGTCACACACGATCACAGCATCGTCCCCTTCCTTGAACTCCTGGGGGGTGGGAGCGTTCTTGAACATCAGCTTTTCTGGAAGCAAGGGAAGGAGAAAGTCACTGCAGCTTTCCCAGCACCCCTCGAGCTGTGCTCCTGACTCCAGCCTGAGGGAAGCAATCCCAGAGGGCCCCAAACCCCCTGGAAATCATCTTGTTCCCAATGGGAGGATAAAGGTGTGTCTGATTGAAGGCACTGCCCCATTTTCCAGCCCTGTCCCCCAGGAATATCAGTGGGCCAAATCCATTCCCTAAATAACCCACGCTGCAAAACGTGACCTCGGAACTGCTCAGCTTCCCAGCAGGAAGGGGAGAAGCTGCTCTCGTGGCTCTGCTGGCCAACATGCTGACGGCTTATTGTAAACATGCTGGGCCCCCCCACTCCACACCAGAGCTGTCCCACAGCGTGCCTGTCACCCACAACAGCTGCTCCCTCTGGACACTCAGGAAGCGCCACAATCTTCTCCTTCCACCCACCCCTTGCTCCCTGAAGAACTTCCAGCCCTGCCTTTCTGAAGGACTGAAGCAGCAGCCGTGCTGGCCGCGGGGCCAAGGGTCTGGCTCCCACTAAAACCCGCACCACCCAGCGAGGAGGAGGCTGCGCCTTCTCAACACCCCCTCGCTTTTCACCCTCCTTCCCCTGCTTTAGACCCAGCCTTTTGCAGGCAGGTACAGCTCGTGCCTCCCTGCAGCTGCCCCGAGGCAGAGCAAGGCAGAGCCCCACGGCCTTACGGAAGATCTTGACGTTGACGGTGGCCTCGGAGTCGCCGCCCTCGTCCGCGCTGCTGACCACGCACTTGTAGATGCCGGCGTCGTCGATGTTGGCGTTGTAGATGGTGAGGGTGGAGGAGAAGTCATCGTTCCGCACCACCGAGATGCGCTGCTGGTTCGGCGTCAGCTTCTCGCCGTTCGGGGAGAACCACGAGATGTCCTTGGACTTGGCCTCCCCCGCCACTGGGGGCGAGAGGGGGGACACGGCGTGAGGCTGAGCCCGACCCTGCACTCCCCGGCTTTGGGACAGGGGGCGAGTCCTGCTTCAGCAAATATCCCCTCTCAGAGGACACCCCCACTTTTAAAGCACTGCCAGCAGCCAGTTAAACCCACATGGACACAAGCCGTGCCTTGAGCCAGCGCTCACCTTGGCATAAGAAGAACTTGGACTCTCCAACGCTGATCTCCCCCTGACTTGGAACGATGTCCACTTGTAGAGAGGCTGGGAAAGAGCAGAGCACACAGGGGGTGGTTAACCAGCAGGAGTGGTCTTCAGCAAAAAAGCTTTGCTGGCCTTCCAACCCCCACAGCTCCTTTATTCACCCAGTGGAATTCACCAAGCAGAGTCCAGTATAACACTCATTTTCTGACCTGAATTATACTGGTACCAAACAAGGGAGAAAGGACAGCACAGGTCCCCATTCCATGTCCATTTATACCCAGCCCTGCCCAGTGCAGATCCACGCACACCCAGTGCCCTTTTCCCCCAGCAACATCCCTGCCTTCTTCATTGCATAAATTATGACCCATTAGGCAGAAAATGTAATTGGATTCTGGCTTTCCTCCAGCTATAGCTTAATTCCACAGCAGATCTGTGGCCTAACAAGCCCAGGTCAAGTTGAATTTGAGGACGCCAAAATGAATAGGTTTTCTTTCAAAAACCTCCTTGTAGTGTTTTCACGCTGTAGTGCATGAAAATCCCTCTCCCAGAGCAGCTCGTTTTACCTCCAGACCACAGAGGTGTTATTTTAGCTGCCAACCACACCTGGGTTTTCAAGGAACGCGCACTGCCTGAGAAATTAAAAGCTGACTGCGTGTGCCAATGGCAACATTCCTTAAAGTACTCGGGAAACATATGGATGGGGGGTGAGGCATTAGGGCTGCAGCTACACACAGCTGAAGGAGCACTGCCTGCCCTCATTAACAAAGGACAGCAGCATCAGGATGGTCTGAGCACGTTCCTGCAGCCAACAGCCGTCCTGACACAGCACTTCTCACGAGGACACGGGAAGCAATTAACGGGAGCCAGGGGAGCCCCACAAAGGACAGTCCCAGGGCAAGGTCCGGGCCACCTTTCTGGCTTTGCTCTCCCTGCATTTCAGCAGGCTGTGCTGGTAAATGCTGGTGTTCCAGCCCAAAAGGCTGGGGTACAGCAGTGAACAGAGACAACCCAGGCAAGACTCAGCTGAAAGCAGAGCTGGGGGCACTGTGTGCTGAGTCCTGCCCAGCCCAGAGCCCTCCAGAGCACCCCTGGATGCCTTGAGGAACAGCAAGGGGCTCATTACAGCCCCTCCTGGCCTGTCCAAGACACCCTTCTGAGCCCTGCAGCTGGAACACAATGAATTTGTGATGGAATTCTCCACAACTGCCAGGCCAGCCCAAGGCAGGGCTTTCAGAGCAGCCATCAGCTTGCTTCCTCCTCAGGCAAGCACTGCTATCAAACCATGGGGTGCTGCTAAAATGGCTTTGAGCTAATTGAGATCTAATATAAATTCATATCCCCCCCCTTCTTTTTTTTTTTGCCACACTACACTATATAAATACACCACTGGCCCTCTCCTGCACTTGTGAGAGTGGCTGCCTGCTGGGAAGGCAGTGGCACAGGCTGGGGTTACTAATGCTTTTCATTCCATTCTCAGGTGCTCTCTGTTACAGCTAGGAAGGAGAAAAAAAGGCTCTGTGCAAAGCATTGAACTTTTCATCACCCCCAAATTCAGCATCTGGGCTCTACCTCACATCTTTTTTTATGTATGTCTGTGCCACAGCAGATGCAAAGAATGGGAGGAAACCACACAACCTGGGAATATCTCACTGTAATTACAGCCAAAAGGGCCAGGCAAGAGATCTGAGCCCAGGCAACACTCAGCTCTCAACACTTTCACTTATTTTTTTCCAAGGGCTCAGCTCCTTCTGTGCATTTCAGATTTTCGAGAGAATGAAACCTAGAAACCACCCCTGGGACACAGGAAGGCAAAACTCTTTGGAGTCTTGGAAAGAAGCTAAGGGAGGACATCCCTGGTTATGCCTCACTCAGTCAGTGCTCCCTCTGCTCCACCAGCTGCAAAGTTACCATTAAATCTCATCACTACTGGCCTAAGAAATAGCATTTCTGCAAAGGTTGTGCAGAGGGGCAGCGATTCCTTCACCAACAATCCCCCGTACGTCAGGGAGGGAGGCACAGGGAAACCTCCTGATGCCATTCCTGACTCCAGAAAGGCACTTTGCAAAACCAGAAACAGCCAAATAGACAGAAACTGTATCCTGGTGAGCAGCAGGAACCAGAGAGCCAGTGTTAACAAACCTACTTCACACCACACTTCAGCCTGCCTAATTTAATCCAGGAACAAGATGCTCAAGTACCCCAAGGTAGATCAAAACCTAACTGCTGTTTCAAGTGCTATTTTACTCCAGTTTCCATCAGGAGAGGAAATTCCCAGTGCTCATCTACGCAGAAACACACCAAGGGTACTTATGAAAGGCACAAAACGCACTCCAGAAACTCTCAACGTTTCCACTCCGCCAGACGTGCTGAGGAGCAAAATTCTACCTGGCTTTCTTTAGCATTTGTGTCTCCTGATGGTGGGTCTGTGCAGGACACTGGGCAGGCTGTGGGGCTGCTCCAGCCCTGGGGTTTGTCCTCACAGTGTTTGCCAACAGTGTTGAGGCTTTGTCCCACAAACAGCCAGATCCCTGGAGCTGGAGCTGGGCACAGAAGAGCCCAGCTGTGTGCCCAGCAGAGCCCAGCTGTGTGCCCAGCAGCTCCAGTCAGGACACTGAGGGTAACCAGCTACGATCTGAGGAGAAATGTCCCCCTGAGTGACTCACACCAGGCTCACCTGGCACCAGGGAGAATCCAGCCCTGACTGTCCCAACCAGCCCTTCCCAGCAGAGAGCTTTGCTGACACCACAACCTGGACAAACAGGTCCATCAGAGCAACGAGCCGTGCCTGGAATTACACAAACAATTGCTCCCTGCTCGCCAAACTTTACTGCTCGGTGTACGACCAAACCAACAAACCCAGCCCTGCACGGGCTTTAATCACTCTTTAATCGGTATTTTTGTTCTGCAGTTCAGGCAAACGCAGACTATTTTTTCCACTCTTCGTTTAATAGACACTGGGAGCCCATTTGTATTCTGCTTCCAGCTTCAAGCAATAAAGGCCTTTTTAGCATCACATAATAACTGCATTAAAAGGCCTCTTCATAATCACACAATAACACTTTTTATAGCTGTGCCCTCCCCCATATCTTTTATCTGGTTACAAAGTTCCCCAGCCCCCAAATAATGCTGAATAATTCCCCATTGATTTGAAAAAAAAAAAAAAAAAATTTGCTAATGCAACTTCCTGTTCATCTGTAGTTAAATATAATTAGTTTTGCATTTCAACAAAAGAAACGGGCTCAAATTAAGCCATGATTTGGGTAATAGGCAGGGAGGCTGTGCCCTGCTGGGCTAAGACTGAGCCTCACGCAGCAGGGTTTACCTGGGGAGTAAATAAAGTGCCACTTGCAGCAGAGGGAAGGGTGCTCATTGCTGGGGATTGGCTCTGTGTCTGCCCAAATCCAAAGGGGCTCCAGGGAAGCAGGGTGCGAGTGAGCTGCAGCCACACCCCCAGTCTGGAATATCTGCCCGTGCCCATGCCAAGGGAATGTCCTTGTTAAAGACTGTACCTTTATTTTCATTCATTTCCAGTTTAAACTAAACTGCAGAAATCAAAATCATCGGGGGGAAAAAAATATCTCCTGGGTCTAATGCCCAGAGCTCTCTGAGTTAAGGGCAGGATTTGTAAAGCTTGTGAGCGCAGCAGATTACGGTGAAAGCCCTCAGGATTTAATACACAACAAAGGCTTAACAAGACAAAGACATGCCTCCTGTACACGGTCACTTTATTAAAAATACGCTGACTGCTCAGGAGGAGGAGGAGGAGGAGGAGGAGGCAGCTGGGATTGATCCCAGCTGGGCTGCAGATCCAATTCCTCCCCCGTCGCCATGGGAACCACTCCCTAAATCTGCCAGGAACTGGAGGAGGGGACGGCTGGTACCTTTGGGGAATATCAGATCGTAGGGAGCCGGGGAGGCAGCAAACAGCAGCTCAGCACAGCACAGCACAAAGACAGAGATGCGGCCAGAGCCACCTTCCGAGGAGAAGCAGCTGCAAATAAACCCGCCACAGCACAGCCTGGGGTGACCCGGGTGGGAGAGGATGCTCCTCACCCACCCTGCTCCTAAACGCTCCCTCCCGTACCCGAAGCCATCCCGACAATGCCTGCAGTTATTTACATGCTATTAACACCTTTTCCTACGGAGGTTTAGGAACCAAAGCAGAGCTGTCAGAGGTATCAGTGGTTTTACACGGAACACAGGTTTATGCCTCTTCTGACGGCGTTCCCGATAGAAGCTTTTTGCTGCCACAGATCATAAAACTAATAGTCCTATTTGCCACAGCAAATATTTTCATTTACCTGAGGCAGAGTAAGCCAAGATGCTTTAATGGAGCCATTAAATCAGAGTATGGACAATTTTAATTAAAAACTATGGAAGCTGCGACGTTCTGCCAAAAAAGAAATTTGGGTGAGTGACACTGCGTTAAGAACCCAGGGAAGATGAGAAAAACAGGATTTGCTAAAGCTCATGATTCAGGACTAATCTTGCTGTGGCCAGTTTGTCTTGGCAGCCTGTGAGCAGCTCACACACTGCATTTGGGGGGGACAGAACTCCGAGGCTCCTGGAAGTCCCTGTCAAGCTGAACTGGCTGAAAAGCTCGAAAATTTCGTATTTACTTCATAGAAATCATTCACTTCAGTGTAACATCCACAAAACTGCAGTTACCTCATTGGCTCCAGGAAGGCACATTCCAGCTCTGGCCCATTCATTCTGTAGTTTGGAATAGTTTCTCCCTCTGCTAATTCACATGGGAATGTCTCAGGAGGAAAATAAACCTTCCTCTTGTAAGAGAAGCCCTTAAATATTTCTCCTGCATCCGGCTCACAAACACTTCAGAGAGAGCACTACATATTGTAATACTTTAAATTCATATCTGGAGCCATCAGCTGCCAAGTGCAAAGTGCCAGGAATCAATAGTTCATTTAATGTGTCTATTAATCTTTCATACCTAGAGGGACCTGGGAATCCTGTGATAGTTGAATATCACCAGAGAGTTTGGAAAGAGCTAAAATTCATGGACTCAGACTGATAATAAACAGGGATTATCAACACTGCCT